TTGAGAAAATTTCTTCTGATTCCCTCATTCCAAATCACAACTCAGGGCTGTCTTCAGGGGAAGGGGACAAAAAGCCAAGATGTGACCCCAACTGCCTCTTTTTATGAGTGTCAATTTGCCTTTGAAATAGCAACAAAAAGAATGCTACCATACAGTAATGGTGCCATCCACCAGCAGCAAGTCAAAACCAACATCCCTGAAAGGCTTATTAAATAGGCATGTTTTTATAGTAAAAATCCAGCAGAGAATCCATTTGGATGTATGAGGGAAAGCTGTTCAACACACTGAGAACCCCTGATCTTGGGGTTCCTGCAGGTGAAACTCAGCGACAGGACCCTCAACAGCCCTTTTCTCCTTGATCTCACTGGACAGGCAGATTCATTTAAGAGCTGGTGTTCTTGAAGATACGTAGGTCCTGAATCACGTTGGGCTTCAGAGCTGATAACTTACACTTTGAATTGTCCCTGGAAGCAGACTGGCACCCAGAATATAAACATTACTGAACACTTTGGTGGATGGAGTCTGTTTGGATCTGAAGGGCTGCAGCTGTGCCATTCATTCCTTGAATGTCAGGATGTAGAAGCCATTGAGATACACAGAAGGGTGCAAAGCCAGGAACCGTTCTTCTCTTCAAAACTCTGAACGTGGCCAAAATTGAACCATAGAAATGTGCTGGCAAGTTGGGCCCATAATTTCGGTAATGTCACCACATTGTTCACCTTTAAGATGCACAGTGGGATATGAGTTATGTGGATTGAGCCTGGAGCTTAGGCAACTACACATTTATGTCAATCTCATGCATTGCTCTTCTGAAGCCTTTGTCAACAATTTGTATGTCCAGGACTTAACTTAAACTCTTATTTTTTTTAAAAAAGAATGGACTGTGTGTAGAACAGACTACATATGCTGATGTTCTTATTTTTATATCATTTCTCCCAAACTAAAACATTAAAAAAAGCATTTTTTGCTTATCAAAAATGTCATGGGAAAAGCCCATTCCTGGGAGGTTCCTACAAATGATGAATTGATGATAATCTAACTCTCCATTAGAAAACCTTAACTTCATTACTTGAATATGCTTTATCAATGTTTAATTAAAATTGCCTGACTTTGCATCTGAATGAAACAGTGGTTTGGGAGGAAAAAAAAACAGCCTTTCTCCAAGTTCGCAGATTCCCAATGTGTTGGGGTTGTATCTTCATATTAGCCAAGCTGACTGGGAATTTTAGGAATTGTAGTCCCACTCTGCACTTTTGGAGCATGCCAAATTGGGGTTAATGCACATTTGTGTCTTAGAAAGCACCATCTCCAAAGATTGATCCCTTTTTCTGATGGTGACCTACAAACCAGGATTTCAGTGCACCCATCACCTTAAACCAGCTTCTCCATGGTCTAATTTTGAGGGTGATTCTCACATTCCTGCCAATAAGTTTGATTAGGCTGGGAGGTTGGAAAGAGGGAGCCCTCTCCCCATGGCTGTGGTGGTCTCTACCACCTGACTTGTAGAGGAATACTAAGTAGGTGGTGAATATTCATGTTTTTTTTTACTTATAGATATTGTATATTATTACAATATACTATACTATTACATTAATGTAAATGAAGACTTGAATGTTTTTGGACGATTGACTGGTTTCAAATGACATCTTGTATATGTGTTACTTTCACCTTTAGTGCTACAACCAATTGTGTGATATTTATGATTGAATGATTATTGATGTATGCGCTACATCAATAGGTTTGTTATTTTATTTTGTAACATTTTTATATTGAAAACATCATCAGTTTTTAAGAATCTTTTGCTTAATTGATATATTTTTTTCAGTGATTAAAATATCTGTACTCAGTTAAAGGCGGCCAGTAAACACATTACTGAAAATAATCAGCAGTTTTAAAAAGGCCTCTGCCTAACTAATTGGATGTACCTCTTTTAATTGATTAAATACTTTTTAATCAGTTAAGTTAATAGATTAACTGGCAAAAAATCAAATCCCTCCCCCAATCAGTTGGGTGACAAGGCCGATTAATTCATTGACTTAGCTGATTAAAAAGTGTTTAATCAATTAGAACTGCAATATATAATATTTTGCATAATTTTTCTCCTTCTGGCACAAGGGAACTTTAAAATAGATGCAACAGAACAGAACAACATCATAGAAACAATTTGTTCGCAATTTATTCTGTATTATACCTTTCAAACACACAAAAGTAGGACTTTATTTACCTAGTATCATCCATTATATTCAATGATTATCTGAATTAATACGGCTCTTTTTAATCTCACTTCTACCCTTAGGATAACAGTTCCCCAGATTCCAAGATAAGGATTCAGCTAATTTCCCTTCCCATGTACGGCACTCTGATGCGGATCATCTCTGAACAGCAGCCAGATGAGTTTTCTGAGGTCAATAATTTCACAATGGAAGATATCAACAATCAAAGAATCAGGTAATCTTTGCAACCGTCCCCAAGAATTGACTCCAAGTTCTTCAAACTCATGAAAACCACAATGCCACCTCCAGGGAAAGAGAGGCGTGATGTGTCGCTTTCTCTGAAAACAGCCCTAAACTATTTGTCTTTAGTAGTTTGTGGATTGGCAATTAAAATATGCAGGTCACAAACAAGGTTTTATTACATATTCTGCCAGGGGGAATGTGAAGGTTGGAACTAATGAAACAGGGAAGCAAGAAGAACTATAGAAATGGAAAATCTTTCCCTGAAAGTAAAGACATAAGCTGTTAAGGCTTTTTAAAAGGAGTCCTGACCTCAGGGGGGAAAAAATGATTGGGGAGATAATATGAAAAAGTTCCAGTCTTTAGAACAAAGTGTCAGAAGATTTCAGAGTCTTCCCCCAGCTACTCTTCTGAGATTCTCTGATATATCATTTAATGCTGGAGACATTTTTTCCCCCAAATAATTGAAATCCGTGACCTTCATCATATATAACAGGAAACCATGGATCTGCATGAAATGCACGGACTTCCAACGTGAGTTCTTCCCTCCAACTTTTAAATAAATACAGCTGAATTCTGGAAACGATGGTTTATTTAAAGGAGGAGTGGGGACTCTCCTGTTTGGTGGCCATGAAGTTCCCCATCAGTCCTCAAGGCCTAGGCAGAAGTTCACTTCCTACCAGTTCCTACTTGCTCACATCCCATTTCTCCATCTATACACAGCAATTGCCCCCTGATCTTCTGGTACTTTTGGGTGGACAAAGAAAGGAGCATTCATGATTTGGACATTGTTATTTATTTATTTTTATTTGAAGGACGTGTTTTTAGCAGAAAAGATGAGTTTTCATCCAGGCCTGGTGATGTTGTGTGACCCTTGGGAAGTGGGCCAGAAGTCAACTTTTTCCTGCAGTTGAATATAGATTCCTCAACCTTGTTTACACTATTGTTTTAGAATATGCCAAGTTCTGGGACCCTAGTTTGTTCCTGGCTTCTTCTAATGAACCACAATTTAAATAAGCCATTGTTTCTAGAATTCAGAAGTAATGAGGGATTAAGGCTTATTTAAAAGGTAAATATTTCAGGTTTGCACAGTTGTAATGGGAAACCATGATTTCTAACAGCATTTAAAAAGAGAGATTTTAAATATGGCATATTTAACATACTTTTCTTGTCATAGAAATGGGGTTTTATTGGTTTTAAAAGGTGAAGCTGGTGTGCAATTTGGGGGTCCTCTTGGAGTCACAGTTCCTGCTGGAAGAGGAGGTAGCAGCTGAGGCTAGGAGGGCCTTTGCACAGATTAATCTTGTGTCAATTGTGCCCTTTCCTGGACCAGGAGGCCTTGCTCATGGTCACTCACACCTTAGTCACTTTCTGTTTGGATTACTGCAATGCGCTTTACATGGGGCTGCCCTTGAAGACCACTTGGAAGCTACAGCTGGTCCAGAACGCAGCAGCATGCACAGCAGTGGGTGTTTCTGGGTTCGACCATGTTACACCTCTGTTGCGCAAGCTGCGCTGGCTCCCAGGGGCTGTCCCTACCTAATGGAACACCCCTCTCCCCAGTGATTTGGCAGGCCCCCACCCTTTTAGCCTTTCAAAAGGCCATCAAGACCTGGCTTTTTACCCAGGTGCTGGGGTAGAGTGAGGATATCTGGAGTTGGTTGTGGGTCATCCCAAAGGGATGACTGAGGTGCTGAGTTTTGTTCTGGTTTTATGTTTTATGATTTTCATAGTTCTGGGTTTTATTGTTGTTGTGATCTGCCCAGAGTTGTGTTTTTTGATGGGCAGCCATGCAAATCTTTTAAATAAATAAATAGTAAAGCCTGTATCACCAAAAGCAAGAATGATAGAAAAGACATGAGTTGATATAAGCCATGTATCAGCAGTTTGGCCTGTTTGTGGCTGGCCCAAAAGGGTTTGGGAGAACCTCCAGAGTATGATGTTTTTGTTCTAGGCTCAGAATGAAACGTTTCCCCATTTTGTGCACAACCCTACTTCACTGTTTAGATTCATCCCAGTGACATTGTCTTTTGCCCTGCCCTGACTTTTAATTTTGTGTCAATGCATGAACCTGCTTTCCCAATTTGGCCCCCAGATGTGTTTCAACTAATGCTCCTAAAATCCCCAGCCCACATTGTCAACAGCTTTCGATCTGGCAGATTTAAAGGGCACCAGTTTGATAAAAGTTAGAAATAAAATGTAGTCCTCCTTGTTAACTATTTTTTTCCCTGGCCGTCACATCTCTCCCAATAACATGAACATGCAAGCAGGTAATTTTATTCCCCATGGCAGACAAGATGTAAGTAGAGATTAAACTGTTACCTCACTGCGCGTTTTCAAAGCAAGAAGAGAAACCCTTTCGTCTCCCCACCACCACAGCTCAATTTCTCCCATTTTTACTGTGCAGATATTTCACGGAGCTTGAAACTGTGGTCAATCAGCCTATCACAGATGTTTTCTACTTCTCTGTGTTTGATGCTGACAACAACCAGCTTGATAGTCAGATGTTCACCATTACTATCACAGCAGCCCAAAGTGTGCCTCCAGTTGTTACCTTTTCTGACCAAATTACGGTACGTCAATAGCCTGTGGGATTCAAAGTTGCAAGGGACATTTTGAATTATGAATAGCATTCAATAGAGAAGGGAGACAGTTGGGAACCAGGATGTCATGGGGGCCAGCAGTGAGATGAGGTTCATGATGCAAGGTCCACCCCTTTTGTTTTCATGTTGTAACATCACACAACTACATAAGAGTAGGTAGCCTTGGGTTGAAATATCACAGAGCTGGTTTTGGCATTCTGACAAATTCTGAAGGCTCCCTTGTTAACTTTCAATATTTAGGAAATGTGCATTATGCTTACGCTATGCCAGATTACTTCTTTATTTGTACCGGAACGGTGTTGTCCTGGGAAATGCAACATTTTGGTAACTAACAGTCACAGATCATTGCTTAGAATTTTTGAGAGATGGTCAGTGACATCATGCTGTCATGCAAATTGGCCTACCTGTTTCCTGATTTTTTTAAAAAAATGGTGGAATTCTCTAGGTTTTTTGGGGGGGGAGCAGTTTTAAGTGCACTAAACCTTTCTAGAGATGGAATGCACATCATTTCTTTTCTGATCTGCCAGAAATTGGCAGGAAATCCATCCACAGCCAAATTTGGAAAACTCTGGTCACTGCCAAAAAGGAGGACCTCCATGGCTTACAGCCCACAAGCCATGGATTGTTCATCACTGCTTTGCTCCAGTTGGTAGCAGCTCTATTAGCTCATATCTTTTTTTTTTTTTAACTTGGGAAGGGGAGAGACAAAAAGTCAATATGGCAGCCATGACCAAGTGATTGAAACAGACCCATTTTCTATGTGTGCTATATGACTCATGTAAAAAGGCTTCAAGTGTATGATTGTGGGTACCATCTGATTTTTTTGACCCTGCCCCACAGATACCCCTGAACTCAAGGCAGAGAGAACCTGTGGCCCTGCTGACCCCAGCCAGATGGCTGATGAGGACAGAGACTAAGAGTTGCAGTTCTTCAGGGCCACAAATTCTTCATCCCTCCTTTAACAAGAAATGCCTGGGACCTTTTTCATTAAAGCATGCATTTACTCACTGAGACAGGGTTCCTCAACCTTGGCAACTTTAAGACGGGTGGACTTCAACTCCCAGACTGGCTGGGGAGTTCTGGGAGTTGAAGTCCACCCATCTTAAAGTTGCCAAGGTTGAGGAACCCTGCACTGAGACATTTTCCTCCCAGAGGAGATATAATTAAAATGGTATTCCCCACTATTTTTTCCTTTTGAATGGTCCTGCATGTTGGAAAAATAAAGGTTGGGAAACTTACCTAGATTGGCTGGGGTCATACAAAGGGGCCTTTGGAAACTCTGTTTTAATATCTCAGTTGTGGCTTGTTGCACCAAAAAAAAAAAAAGTCTGAATTTCAGCCTGGAAAGAAGGAGCTGATGGGGAGGAGGAAAGACCTTTCTGCACCTCCACCTTCTCCCTCACCCTTTGCTCACATATGGTTAAAATTCACATGAAGGTAATCATGGTTTAGGCTGTTTAAGCAACGATGGATAACAGTAGGACAACTTCAGGCAGGCTTCATACCAATGGAATCTACCTTTTAACTAGGGCCATGCGTCAGAGTCAAATGAAACATGTTGGCCTATAGAAGTAGAGCCATAATGGTGTCTTTGGGGTAGAAATAATTATTTATCACGCTATACAACTGCATTCTGGGGATGACCCTCATACGAAGTATTTCAGTTCAGGGATATTAAGAGATTGGGGTGGGGGCTAAGAGGGAGAAGCTTGTTGTTAGCAATGCTCTGAACATTTCTCAGAGATTTACCAGTAGCTCCTGTTCTGTGGGCTGCCCACATGGAGTTGCAACATTGCTAAATCAAATTTCCGGCGTAGACCAGAACTTGGCTTGCTTTTGTGTTCAGGTGGATGAAGGGGGACGAGTACCACTCCAGCCTCACCACACCCTTGGCTTTGATGCTGGCCTTGCAGAAGAAGGCTTGGTTGTAAAACTCGCAAGTCTTCCAAAATATGGGTACATTGAAAACACCAGGACAGGTAAGATGCTATTTCTGTAAGAGTTTATTACAGTAGAGAAGATTCCTAAGGTTGAACATCAGGCAGAGTCTAATTTTCTTATCAATAATTCCCAAGATAATGGACCATCAAATTTAAGTCATGAAATGATGGAAGGCTCCTCCTGCAGAAAGCGTAATACAGTGGAACCTCGGGTTACGAACGCTTCTGTTCACGAACTTTCGGGTGACGACCAGCTCCGGGC